TATTGATGCGATGAGATTATTCCCCTTAAATGGCATGGGATTGATGTGTTGAGATTATTCCCCTAAGTGAGATGAGATGATTGCTAGCGTAAATTGATGTCGACCCACGTGGCATTATGGTGACACGGCTTAGTCGATCGGTCTGAGATCGGATGCCATGCCGCACAGATGGTGGTGTTGTGATTGGATGTCTTTGGGTGAGACGGCTTAGCCGATATGGCCGTGATCGGACTCCGTTCTAATAACACGATGGTATATCGGTACTAAAGATCTCCCAACCTAAAGCATTTTTATTTACTTGAAATTTATCGTTCTCTTAACTTGACATTGTTACATTGTTTGAGGCTCTCATTGGTTCCATGTTCTTTCTCATTGTATTGTTATTCATTTTATTGCGAGGGTGTTTAGTCTTACATACTAGTACTATTCCATATATACTAACGTCCCTTTTGCCGGGGGTGCTGCATCTTTAATGGATGCAGGTGGTTCCATAACAGGCGCATCGATCAGTGACAGCGGTACACCCTCTCCTCAGCTGACTCAGTGAGCCCCCACTTCATTTTGGGGTCTTGTACCTTTTGTTCCATATGTATAGTTTTTTTATGTATAGCCGGGGCTGTGCTTCCGACACCATCATATTAATCTCTTGTATCCATTAGAGGCTCCGTAGACATAGTGTGGGTTTTGTGTTGGTCTTGGGAAAGTAAATTAGCAGTGTTGTATTTGTATCACGTGTTCCACTTCAAACTATGAATGTGTAATGTATTTTGGGAATGATAAATGTAGTATCTAATGGTAATGGAATTGGTGTCGTCCATGAAATTCTCTCATTGTATTATGAATGGTACATATCTTCACTTTATTCAAGGGTAAGTTTGGATTGAAAGCATCAAGTAGGCTTGCTTGATCAGGGTATCTCGGTTGAGCGCCGGTCGCGCTCCCCGATGTCGGGGCGGGATAAACTTGGTATCAGAGCATAACGTTTTAAAGTGTCCTAGGGTGTCTTGAAGCCATGTCTAGTAGAGTTCTTCTTATCGATGTGTTTTCGACCACATCTATAATTAGGAGGCTACTTGGGCATTTAGGAATAATACCCTTCTTTGATATTGTAGATCGTGCGATAGAGCTGATTATAAGACTGTTACTCCTTTAACTCGTGCATTACTCTACTTTTGAGTACATGGCGTGTAGGAAGAAAGCAAGAACTAGCCAAGGATCCAATGCCACCCCTGGGGGGTAAGGATATTCCCTTAACTACTACACCGTCTGATTTTACTACTCCTGCTCAGACTGCACCAATCCCTATACCTACTGAGGGTGTAACGATTCCTCCAATTGATATTCCAGTTCCACCTCCAGCCGCAGCATTCGGTCTTAGTATTTCTGATGGGGACCTTAGGGGAGCCATACAGATGTTGGCTCAGATACTGGCTTCCCAGGCCCAGAGATCGAATATTGCACCTACTTCCTCCAGCCAGCAGGGGGATCTGCTAGTTTTAAGGTGAACATGTTTCTTCAGTTAGATCCTCCAGTGTTCTCGGGTACTAATCCCGAGGAAGACCCCAGGACTTTATTGATGAGATGCACAAGGCTCTCCTAGTTATACGTGCTACTGAGACGGAGGCAGTGGAGTTGGTTTCCTACCGCTGAAAAAGGTGGCATATTCTTGGTTTGAGGTAAGGGAGGAGTCTCGTGAGGAGGGGAGCCCTCTGACGAGGTGGAGTGAGTTTGTCGACGCCTTCATTAATCATTTCTTGCCTGTCTAGATTAAGGCAGCCCGTGCTATTAAGTTTGAGAGCCTGAAACAGGGTAGCATGAGTGTGTGGGAGTACCATATGAGATTCGCGTGCCTGTTCAAGTATGCTATTTACATGTTACCCTTTATGGAGGCTAGAGTGCGCCGGTTTGTGCAGGGCCTCAGTCCCTTAGTTATTAATGAGGCTGCTACAGCTGACTTTAATTCGGATATGAACTATAGGAAGATGGTGGCATTTGCTCAAGCCACAGAGACCCACAAATTGATGAATAGAATGGAGCGAAAGGGTAGCAATAAGGCTCGGTCCGCGGGCAACTTTGGTGGTTCTTCCGGTTGTGGTGGTTGTGGTAGGTCAACATTCAGGGGAGGGTGCTCAGGGCCATCCTAGTCCTTTTCCTAGTCTTCAGTCTGTGCAAAGCCACCAGGGCTCGGTTAGCAGCAGTGGAGTCATTTTAGGCCCGGTCAGGGCAACAGGAGATCCTACCAGCAGGGGTTGTCCTGGTGGGAGATTCCAGCAGCAGCGGAGGCCCCCATGCTCTAGGTGTGGGAAGATGCACTTAGGGGTCTTCTACATGGACCTACCCATATGCTACGGGTGCGGTATGATGGGTCATATCCAAAGGGATGGATGTTCGTCTCGCTAGAGTGTGGGCAGGGGTAAAACATAGCCAGCAAGTTCTGCAGCTACTACGTCCACAGAACCTCCTCCAGCTCGAGGACTCTAGCACACGCAGGGCGTGGTGCAACTAGGGGTCGTGTATAGTGTTCGGGAGACCTAGCTGGTTCTATGCTATAAGGGGTCTCTAGAGTTCAGAGGCTTCTCCAGATGTTGTCATAGGTATATTGACTGTCCAATATCATGATGTATATGCTCTTATTGATCCCGGTTCCACTTTGTCCTATGTCACTCCTTATGTTGCTCTGGAATTCGGGATAGAACTGGAACACCTTCACTGTTTTATAGGGATTGTGTTGTCACGGTACATGGTCGAGACACCATGGCCGATATCATTGAATTGGGGATGGTTGATGTTGATGTAATAATGAGGATGGACTAGCTTTATTCATGATTTGCCAAGCATGATTCCCGAACCAAAACTGTTAGGTTTGGATTTCCAAATGAGCCAGTTATTGAGTGGAAGGGGAATGACGTAGTGCCGAAGGGTAGGTTTGTTTCTTACCTTAAGGCCACAAAGATGATCAACAAGGGGTGTATTTACCATTTGGTCCGGGTTACGGACATCGATGCTGAGGCACCTACACTTTAGTCCGTGCCAGTTGTGAATGAATTTCCTGAGGTCTTTCCTGATGAGCTCCCTGGGATCCCACCAGATAGAGAGATTAATTTTGGGATCGATGTGATGCCAGGCACGCAGCCTATATCTTTTCTACCCTACAGAATGGCACCGGCAGAATTGAAGGAACTAAAGGAGCAGTTGAAGGATTTTTTTAGAGAAGGGTTTTATCTGGCCGAGTGTGTCTCCTCGGGGCTCACTAGTTCTCTTTGTAGGGAAGAAGGATGGGTCACTGAGAATGTATATTGACTATCGGCAGTTCAACAAGGTCATGATCAAGTATAAGTACCCACTGCCAAGTATAGATGACTTGTTTGATCAATTACAAGGCGCTAAGTATTTCTCCAAGATTGATTAAAGATTAGGGTATCACCAATTGAATATCAGGGAGCAGGATATTCCAAAAATAGCTTTCAGGACCCGGTATGGGCAATTTGAATTTATGGTGATGTCTTTTGGGCTAAAGAATGTCCCGACAGCTTTCATGGATCTTATGAATCTAGTCTTCAAGCCTTTTCTTGACTCCTTTGTGATAGTGTTCATTGACAATATTCTTGTATATTCACGAAGTCGAGAGGACCATGCCGATCATCTCAGGGTAGTTTTGTAGGCTCTATATCAGCACAAATCGTATGCAAAGTTTTCAAAGTGTGAATTTTAGCTTGAATCTATCACATTCTTGGGTCATGTCGTCTCCATAGAAGGAATTAAGGTTGATCCTCAAAAGATTGTAGCTGTGAAGAATTGGCCTAGACCTACAACTCTAATAGAGATTCGTAGTTTCTTGGGCTTAGCTGGGTATTTCAGGAAGTTTATGGAGGGGTTCTCTACTCTTGCCTCTCCGTTGACTAAATTGACATAGAAGGAAGCTAAATTCCAGTGGTCAGACGCTTGTGAAAAGAGCTTCCAAGAGTTGAAGGCAAGATTGACTACGGCACCGCTGTTGACCTTACAGAGGGTACGGATGGGTTTCTGGTATATTGTGATGCTTCAAGGATCGGACTTCGGTGTGTATTGATGCAACATGGCAAGGTGATCGCTTATGCTTCTAGGCAACTCAAGAATCATGAGAAAAGCTATCCAACACATGACTTAGAGCTTGCGGTGGTGGTTTTTGCATTGTAGATTTGGTATTTGTATAGGGTCCATGCGGATATATTCATAGACCATAAGAGCCTTCAATATATTTTCAAGCAAAAGAAATTAAATATAAGGCACAGAAGGTGGCTTGAGTTACTCAAGGACTATGACATCGATATTCTAAATCATCCGGGGAAGGCAATATTGTGGCGCATGCTCTTAGCCAAAAATCCATGGGTAGTTTTGCTCACTTGGAGGCATATCAAAGGCCGTTGGCCAAGGAAGTTCAACGGTTTGGCTAGTTTCGTAGTTTGTCTTGCGGATCTAGTGAAAGAGGGGTGATTCTGCAAAATCGGGCTGAATCATTGCTTGTTGTGGAAGTCGAGGAGAAGCAATACAACGATCCGTTTTTGGTACAGTTGAAGGAGGGGATTCATAAACATAAGACCATGGCTTTTTCTCTTGGCACGGACGATGGTACACTACGGTACCAAGGGAGATATGTGTTCCAAATGTAGATGGTCTCCGGGAAATGAATCATGACCAAGGCTCACAACTCCGGGTATTCCATGCACCCAGTCTCTACAAAGATGTGACATGATCTTAAGGAGATCTATTGGTGGAATGATATGAAGAGGAATTTACCGTACATTGTGGCAAGATGTCCAAAGTGTTAGCAAGTGAAGGCCGAACATCAAAGGCCCGGTGGGTTGGCACAGAGCATAGAGATTCCATTGTGGAAGTGGGAGATGATCAATATGGACTTTGTGGTAGGACTACCTCGCACTCCTCGCAAGTTCGACTCAATTTGCATGATTGTGGATTGACTCATGAAGTCAGCACACTTCTTACCTGTTAAGGCTACCGAGATGGCGAAACAGTATGCTCGGTTGTATATCAGGGAAATAGTCAGGTTTCGTGGCGCTTCAGTTTCTATCGTCTCTTATTGGGGGCACAGTTCACTACTAATTTTGGAGGATATTTCAGTAAGGTTTGGGTACTCAGGTGAATTATAGTACAGCCTTCAATCCACAGACTGACGGGCAGGCAGAGTGGATTATTCAGACGCTCGAGGATATGTTGCGTCAGATAGCACCATTTAAGGCTCTTTATGGTAGGAGATGTAGATCTCCCATTGGGTGGTTCAAAATTGGGGAAGCACAGTTGATAGGGCCAGGCCTCATGCATCAGGTTATTAAAGGTTAAGATCATTAAGGAACGGTTGAAAACTGCCCAAAGTCGTCAGAAGTCCTATTCGGATGTACGTCGTAGGGATTTGGAGTTCAAAGAGGATGATTGGGTATTCTTGAAGGTTTTCCCCATGAAGAGTATAATTCGGTTTAGGAAGAAAGGGAAATTGAGTCCCAGATATGTCGGGCCATATAGAGTAATTTAGAGGGTTGGTCAGGTGCTTACAGGCTTGAACTACCTCTAGAGATGTCTTTAGTGCACCCGATGTTTCATTTATTCATGTTGAAGAAGGTGGTTGGAGACCCGTCGCTTATTGTTCCGGTTGAGACTATTGAGGTTAATGAAGAACTGACTTATGAAAAGATTCCAGTTGCCATTCTTGATAGGCAAGTCCGAAAGCTGAGAAATAAAGAGATTGCCTCTGTGAAAGTCATATGGCGAAACCAACAGGTTGAAGAGACCACTTGGGAGGCCGAGGAAGAGATGAAGAAGAAATATCCTCATTTGTTTAAATAACCATATAGTTGTGTCCTATGGAAATATTAAGAGCTTACTCACTATGTATTATGTTTCCCTTGTACAGTTTATGTTAAGGATGTTCCTTTTGGTAATATAGGATTTATGACGTCATGGTCGATGTTATTTTCATGTTGTGCTACATCGTTGTGTTGTGGTTATGCTACTAGGTCTGGTTTTTGGGATTCTCTGACAGGTGGATAGGCCCAGTTATAGGGAAAACTCTGCCGAAATTTTCTGGAAATCTGTGGAGTTAGTCAAATTTGGAACTGCTAGTGTGTGAATTAAGAACTGAGTCGCTTTGGATGCCGATGGTGGATTTTTTAACCTCATTAAAGGACGAATGATCCTAAGCGGGGGAAGATGTAAGCCCCGTAAAATTTCACCTAGAACGCAGTGTTTGCAGTGCCGAGATAGGTTAATGTGTTTGAGGATTGTAGAAATTCTTCGCGGCAAGCTTGCGAGCTGTGGTAGGGACTTTTTGGGTTGAACAACGCGTCGGGGAGTTGAAAGATTTTTTTTGCAGAACATGGTGTTTTTGCCATCCACCATGCGGACGCAGAACCTCTTCGGGGATCGCAGATTGGCCGCAGAATGCAACAGAACTTGATCTAATTTTTGAAGATCATTATGCGGTCCATTATTCGATCGCATAATCATTTTTCGGGCCGCACATTTTATCTGCATGAAGAAATCCAAAGGGAGATTCCGCAGTGCGTTATGCAACCGCATAACTGTTCTGTGGGCTACATAATGGCCACAGACCTGACCAGATCTGCCCAGTTTTGGGACCATTTTTGCGGTCCCCTTTATGGATCGCATAGTCATTTTGCGGTCCGGTTTGTGACCGCAAACCCGCTTTCGTAGGCTCAAGTTTTGGGAAATTTTACCCAATCCCAATTTTATAAAACGACCTTGGGGGCATTTAGGCTGGTTTAGGTGACTATTTTAGAGAGAGGGGAGTATCATAGAGAGAGAAGGAAGACCCAACCCCTTTGCTCATCAATTCTTGCTCCAATCTTGAATAATCAAGGGAATCACTCACTAGGCCATCAACTATTCGGGTAAGACTTTGTCCTAAAACTTTCATGTAATTGTTATTGGTTAAAGTATGTTGTGGAGTTGTAGATAGGTCATGCATGTGCTATTATAGGGTAGTGTGTGGGGTTGTTGAACTATTCCAGGTAGGTTCTTATAAAAATTTGTTGAGGGAGGAAACGATTACCATTGTAGAAGCCTTGTATTCAATTTTACATGGTAGGTGTTCGACGAAATTCCCAACAGACTTCTATCATGAGAATCCTTCTAATTTTGATTTGATTTTATCATCTTCCAATAGATTGAAATTGCTAGGAGTATTTGGACGTTGTAGTAAATTAAGGAAATCTCAAGCGAGGTATGTTGGCTAAACTTCTCTCTTAGAATCGAATCCCACGATGTTCTCGTAAGTTTCAAGCATGATGGTCCAAGCTCTTATTTTCTCATGTTTCGAGTTATTCCTTATAAATTTGACTATTCCGAATAAGCTTGTGTTGAAAGATATATACTTAAATGTGTGCCAAACGCTCCTATCATATTGTGTTCTCCTATGGGAATGCATTCAAACATGACCAATGTATCGGAATATTATGATATCAATCATGTTTCAATTGCAACTTATTATGCTAAATTGTGGAAGAAAACTCAATTTTCTTAAGACTCTTAGTGCTCATATGTATACTTAAAGTCTTGAGTAGAAATGCGCTGTTGTTGATAATCATGATAATGTCTGAAAGTGAAAGGAGTGTGTATGAAATATGAAATATGGCCGACCTGCCAAGAACGAAATTACACTTGTGGCCACTAGTGCCAATGAAATGAAAAGACGTGTGATAGCAATGAAATAAGCTATAACTCTTTTTTTATAATAAATGTTTTGGGAGTATCGTTTAGTCACCGAAGAAGGGTAGGTTGAAATAACCTAACCCCGAAACTACATGTGCCGGTGTAGGAGTGATTGAGGGGTAAATCCCCCGTATTGATGCGAGGAGATTATTTCCCTTAAATAGGATGGGATTGATGTGTTGAGATTATTCCCCTAAATGGGATGAGATTATTTCTAGCGGAAAGTGATGTCGGCCCACACGGCATTGTGGTGAGACGGCTTAGCCGATCGAGCTGAGATCAGATGCCATGCCGCGCACATGGTAGTGTGGTGATTGGATGTCTTTCGGTGAGACGACGTAGCCGATCTGTCCGTGATTGGGATCTGTGCTAATAACACGATGGTATATCAGTACTAAGGATCTCCCAACCTAAAGCATTGTTATTTACTTGAAATTTATCTCTCTTAACTTGACACTATTACATTGTTTGAGGATTTCATTGATTCCATGTTCTTTCTCATTCTATTGTTACTCGTTCTATTGGGAGGGTGTTAGTCTTACATACTAGTACTATTCCATATGTACTAATGTCCCTTTTGCCGGGGGCGCTGCATCTTTAATGGATGTAGGTGGTTCCACAGCAGGCAACATCGATTAGTGATAGGGTACACCCTCTCCTCAGTTGACTCGGTGAGCCCCACTTCATTTCGAGGTCTTGTATATTTTGTTCCTTATGTATAGTGTTTTGAGGTATAGCCGAGGTCTTATTGCCGGCTCCATCATATTACTCTCTTGTATCCAATAGAGGCTCTGTAGACATAGTGTGGGCTGTATATTGGTGTTGGGAAAGTCAACTAGCAATGTTGTATTTGTATCACATGTTCCACTTCAAATTATGAATGTGTAATGTATTTTGGGAATTATAAATGAAGTAGCTAATGGTAATGGAATTGGTGCCGTCCATGAAATTCTCCCATTGTATAATGAATGGTACATATCTTCACTTTATTCATGGGTAAGGTTGGGTAGAAAGGATCAAGTAGGCTTTCTTGACCAGGGTGTCTCAGTTGAGCGCTCGTCGCGCTCCTCGATGTCAGGGCGTGCCAATACTTTCCACCTCTTAAACAAATGTTTGTCCTCCAACGGGTCTAGAATCATACCTAGAGTGCTAAATAAGTGTGGATATTTGCTCCGCGTGTCCTCATCGATCTCCCAAGTCGCCTGCTCGACTGGTTCACCCCTCCATTGGACCTTTGCCGTTGAAATCTTCTTAGACCTCATATGGCGGACTTTCCTGTCAATAATGGAAACTGGATCCTCCTCATAACCCAAGCTCTCATCTATCTGAATTGTGTTGTAATCTAACACAGGTGACCTGTCGGCATGGTACCACCGTAGCATAGACTCGTGGAAAACCATATGAACTCATGACAGACTGGGAGGCAAAGCAAGCCTGTAAGAAACCTCTCCAACTTGCTCCAACACCTCAAATGGACCGATGAACCTTGGACTCAGCTTGCCCCTCTTTCCGAATCTCATGATACCCTTCATCAGCGAGACTTTCAAGAGAACTTTCTTGCCCACCATAAACGATCAATCATGCGCTTTCTGATCCGCATAACTCTTCTATATGGACCGATCTGTGCGAAGTCACTCCTGAATAAACTTTACCTTATCCAAGGAATCCTTTACCAAATCAGTACCATATAACCTAGGCTTGCCGGGATCAAACCAACCGATGAGGGAACGACATTGCCAACCATACAAGGCTCAAATGGAGCCATCTCGATGCTGGATTGAAAACTATTGTTATATGCAAACTCGGCCAAAGGTAAGAACCAATCCCACTGCCCTCCAAAGTCAATCACACATGCGTTGAGGATATCCTCCAGAATCTGAACCATCTGCTTCGCATGTAGGCCGGTCTGTAGATGAATAGCCGTGTTGAGCTTTACGCAGGTATCCAGCTCACTTTGTATAGCTCTTCGGAAATGCAAAGTGAACTGAGTGCCTCTATCTGAAATGATGGAGATAGGCACACCATGCAACCGGATGATCTCCTAGATATAAATCAAGGCCAACCTCTCTAGAGTGTATGTACTCACCACTGGCATAAAGTGTGCAGACTTGGCCAGTCTATCGATAGTGATCCAAAAGACATCAAATTTCCTCGATATCCACAGCAACCCAACTACGAAATCCATAGTGATGCGCTCCCACTTCAAATTCGGTATAACTATCTGCTGAAGTAGGTCGCCTAGCCTCTGGTGCTCATACTTAACCTGCTAGCAGTTTAGACATCTCGCCACATACTCAACTATGTCCTTTTTCATATGTTACCACCAGTAATGCTAGCTCGGGTTGCAATACATCTTCGTGACACCTAGACGAATAGAATACCGTGAACTGTTCGCCTCCTATAGAATCGTCTCCACCAGGCCATCAATATTAGGAACACATAAGCGACACAGGACTCGCATAACGCCATCATCACCGATAGTGATCTCCTTGGCATCACCCGTAGCACCGTCTCTCTGTGAACTAGCAAGTGAGGATTATCATACTGACAAGCCTTGATCCGCTCGAATAAAGAAGACTGAACCACAACACATGCAAGAATTCGACTAGGTTCTGAAATATCCAACCTCACAAGTCTGTTAGATAAGGACTAAATGTCCAAAGCCAATGGCCTCTCCCCTACAGAAATAAATGCCAAACTACCCATACTCTCGGTTTTTCTACTCAAGGCATACACAACCACATTCGCGCTGCCCGGATGATAGAGAATAGTAATATCGTAATCAGTAACTCAAGCCACCTCCACTACCTCAGATTAAGATCCATCTTCTTAAAAAAATGATACAAACTGCGGTGATCTGTGTAAACCTCACCCCGACACTCCATAAAGGTAATGCCTCCAGCTCTTGAGAGCATGAAGTATCGCAACCAACTCTTAAAAATGCAGAGGATAATTCTTCTCTTGGGGCTTCAGCTGATATGAAGCATATGCAATAACTCGCCCTTCCTGCATCAATGCACATCCTAAGCCAACGCGTGAAGAGTCGCAATACACAGTATACATCCATGAACGGGAGGGTAAAACTAACACTGGTGTTGTAGTCAATGCGGTCTTGA